CTGTAGGGGTCGGATTTCACCCCTATGCCATCGATATAGCGACAAGATCAACTTTGCAGCGTCCTGACAAAATCAGATCAAAGCTACAAGGGCCCAGTCTGAATCTAGGCCCAAAATGACATTAAACCCATAATCAAAATGGGTTTAATGAAATAATAGACCTAAATTAGATATGTTGCTTAAAGGGTCAAGGCCAATTTATTAGTTGGCTCATTTACTTAAAGCTATATATAGCTCATTGTATTCTCCCAAAAAGGGGTTGACAATTTTTCTCAGAGAAAACTCTCTTGTAATCAAAGTTTAACAGAAACAGCAATAAAGAATTCTCATTCTCAGTCTTTGTCCGAAGTGTGTTCGCGACATAGAAATGTCTAATCTCCAAACACCCTTGACAAATTTAATTGCGTGGATCCGACTTCCACAGTTTGGCGCCGTCTAAGGGGACTAGAGACTTTCTGACACAAATGAATCATTTCGCATACTAGACGAGAGAAGATGACCAGCGGCAACAACAGTAGTGGCAACAGTATCGACGACTCCGCGGCGTCACAGCCAAACAATACGGCCGCCAGGCGCAGCCAGATAGGTGACGACGCTGTCAATGTCCCAACTACAAATTCGACAACCTTGAACGAGCTAAAAGACATGATGAAGATACTGCTCGAGAGAACGGCAGATCATGAAGACAAGCTGAAGTCTCTTACAACGGCGAGCAAGGCTCGCAAGAAAACCACCCGGACCTGCGGACCGCGGCGGTCACTCGGGCGGTTCAGGCCGCACACCCTCAGTTTTTCAACACCGCGCACTCCGCGAAGAACCTAGGGTGATCTACCACCGCTGCCACCGCTGCAAACAACGGACCCAGCTCCGGAGCGAGCCAATGGAACAACGGGTAAAGAACCAGCTGCTTCAGAAAAGGATCGCGCGGGAACGCCAAGCTACTTCAGGAAGGACCGCGCAAGAATGCCAAGCTGCTTCAAGAAGGATCGTGCAGGAATGCCAAGCTGCTTCAGGTGGGCTCGCGCGGACACGCACCTCAGAGAATCGCAGCACTCCTGCAGGGAGAGATTGGTCTCAGGCTCGTCGAAACTATGCAGACATCGAGCATGACCAGGACCTCACCGAGGGAGAAAGGGGTTTCTACTGGAATGAACAGTTCGAGCTCGAACAAGAACGCAGGATCCTGATCGAAACTCAAAATGACAAGATAGCCAGGATGGAGGCACAGCTTGAGCGCGCCGCCTCCGAATTAAGGACCGCGCAGTCCCAGATACACCGGGGCAATATCAA